TTAGTAGGCTGTGTTCTGAACTCAAAGCTATCAGTGTGTTAGTGAATTGTTGCCACGGGCATATCCATAAATTCCTGCCAAAGTTATTGGAGACAATTTAGTTTTCAACTATGTTCTGTTGATAGAAAATGAATTAAAATCATAGTAGATTAAAGTATTGTTTGAAACTAATTCTACTTGATTTCTCAGTTATGCATTTAGATGTCCACTGCGATAAGTAGGTCCATGCTAAAAGCGGTAATAATGCGGACTGAATACGAGATCGGCTGATCATGAGCGAGGGTAAGTGTTCGTCTAACAGGTAAGTAAAATCCATTACTAAATAGTTGCTTGCTTCGGGACCATGAGCAGCGTGGAAAATGCGGACAACTGCTGACGGAAAGATTCTCCAGATATCATTTTTGCATTTTGCGTATTCCTCCAGTATCTTTTCCCTGACATCGTGATAAGCACAAAACTGAGTTGAGAAGACTCACCAAATTCTGGAATTGTGTTTATTTTTGAATCATTAGTAAACAACATCGATTCTTGCCTGAACGTGAGCCTGTGAATATTGCACTATCTTCGACGTTTATGCACGGCCTAATGTTATGTTGATATTGCTTAAACAGTTCCAATTGTTACGGACTATACCTCATTTTTAAACTTCTAAATTCTTTCTATTAGCATGCCAGTATTTCTTAGCTGGTGGTTCATCATGTGACAAACCAGGGTTCTCCCTCTCTGAACCTTGGACTCGAAATCTTGAAGTCCCCGATTCCAGCCCCGCTTGGATCACTTGTCTTTCTTCCTTCCAACGTTGACACATGACTGCCACGTCGATGGAATGAAACAAGACACAACACAAAATAGTGGTATGTGAGCTGTGCATGCAGCCATAAAAAACAAGCATATTGCATTCCCGAGTGATGCCACGGAGACGGAGATTTGCGTTGGCACTATAATATTTATGAAACGAAGGGCGCACACAAATAACACTTAATCATGGACATGCAACGGAGACCGACATTCCAACGATTACAAACATTCGTATTTTTTCTTTGCACCGTGTTACAATTGCGAACTCCATTTGGCACGTATGATTCTCCTAGAATTGTAGGTTAGAAGGTTTTCTCTTAAAAAAACTAATATTTGTTGTCCATGATGCATATAACTGCAACATGCGAGGTTTAAAATTCTACACAAGCAAATGAAAGAATCCACCTAATTGCATGAAAGTGTTTCAGTCCCGTTTGGACGGTTCTGCTCAGGACTAAAACTTCTTCACCGCATTGGTGGAGAATGCCGGGGAAGTTCTGATGCATTTGCAAGCCGTAATATTCCGTTCGCTTGCCTATTGCGCGGTAGGGT